AGCAAACTGTTGTATCGAAACAACCCATGCTTTTGTTTATGTTTATGTTTTTAGATGCTCAATAAATCTTTATTGGAAAAAAAAAAAACAATTACAAGAGCATGTTGAAACTTATACGATATTTTACTGACAAGGTTTAGACCTATTGTGAACCGCTCAAGTAGATATGAACGTCAACTCTAGGAAATGAGGTCTTAGTTCAGAAATCTTTAATAATATGTCATTTTTTGTATTTAAAGAGCGCTAAAATGGCTATGTTAATAAATAAAATAATATATGTTGTATTTACAAAATAATTAAAGCAAAGTAAAAAAAAATATGCATTGTAATTAAAATGTGAATAAAAACGTTGCCATTTACACTTTTTCTGATATGTCCTGTGGGATCAATATGTAACAAAACTCAAATACTCAATGGATTAATTGAAGATATACAGATGTGTGTGTATGTGTATAGCTATATATATATATATATACACACAGTATATATGAGTAGGCACCTCTATCAATTAGTAACAAGCAAGTATGAATTTCTTGGGTGTAGATTCATTTTAAACAGCAAACACTGCTTTTTTCAAAGGCTAATTTAAGACTAATATTTAAAACAAATTAAAATATTAGTAAGTAGATTGTATTTAAACCAGACATAGCCAAATATATCCATTCTATCTCTAATACTGATCTTTGTTGTTCCCATGGGGCTGTTGGTACAATATTCAGCATTAGAAGAATATAAAGTACACATTGTCATAAAAGCTGAAAATTATAAGGAGTCAGCTACCTGACTGAGCAGGTGAGTGAATCAGTATCATTTATGCAAAAGACTCTCTGCAACTAACATATTATTGTATTTGCCTTTCAAATATTGAGGTTGATTGACTAAAGAAATAGAAGCTGTTCATTATGCAAAGTGAATTTTCATTAACAGTACCTAAGTTGAAGCTTTGCTTACAAGACCCAAGAATATGCAAGGAGGAAAATATGGTTCTAGCTGGCACATGATTGGATAGTTCATGATGATCATAGCTTCCCTCTATTTACTAAGCTAAGAAGACAGTTTCTTTGACAAGTTAACATTCACATCACTAAGTGAACAACCTCTACTCCTTTAGTAAATCAAACTTACTGTATTTTTTGGTATTCATAATTGTTCTACATGTTTAGATTAACACTTGCGTGAGTTGGCATATTAGCCACCCCCTCTATCCTAACCATCCTCTGACACTATACTCATATACACTGCTACATCTCTGGGATCAATCAATTGATATCAGCTTAATGAAGTTTGAACTGAGTCATTTTCCTGAACATCAGTATTCTAAGCTTTTTCAGGTGAGGTCACATGAATAAAAACCTCTGTGGGAGCCAACAGCAACATTTGTTTCAGGATAAGTAAAAATTTTTATGGCCCTTTTGTCATTAAGTTAATTGGAATCATTGCTAAATGCTGTGATGTATTTTGTTATAATGCTGCATTGATGAATTGCTGTTTAGGAGAGAAAAAGACAAAAGAAATGTAACTATGTAAAACCATACATTATTGGACACTATGACACCCATTTATTGCTCCTCACACTCACAATTATTTCCCTTACATATTTTGGCATGCATTTTATTAATGTTGGGGAATATATATAAGTCAGCGCTCCTAAAGAAAAGCTGCTAGCACCAAATTAGTGTGGCACACCAACCTAAAAATGTAATGAATAAAAAAGATAGTGCAGTGCTAAATATACAAATGACATAAATTATGTCCAAAATATTCCATATATCAAACAATATAACATATATACCAATCCACTGGTAAAAATAGAAGATTATATCAGTGTAATACAAAAAATCCAAACAATGAAGTGCATGTCAAAATAATGATGCAAGTCCCAATTCTGCAAAGAGAACAAAATGTCCAGCTTCTTCTTCCCAGTAACATCAACAATGTTCACTCCTCCACCCATATGCACTCACCTCATTGAGTTTTTGGTATTTAGACAACTCTATGGAGATTCTGAGGCCTATTTACTGAGGCCCAATATTTCTACTTGTTTTATCGCAACATCGCCAAAATCTGCACGTTCCTAACCCCAGAAACCACTAAACAGCTCATCGACTCCCTCATCATATCACGACTCGATTACTGCAACTCTCCTCCTCACTGGCCTGCCTCGCCACAGGCTATCCCCGCTTCAGTCGATCCTGAATACGGCAGCCAGACTCATTCACCTTACCAACCACACTCCGTTTCCGCCACCCCCCTCTGCCAATCCCTCCGCTGGCTTCCGATTGCGCAACAGATCAAATTCAAAATCCTAACACTGACGTACAAAGCAGTCCACCATACTGCCCCAAATTACATAATCAACCTAAAATCCAAGTACCACCCAACACGCACACTCCGCTCCTCACAAGACCTCCTTCTCTCTAGTTCCCTGGTCTCCTCCTCCCATGCCCGCCTCCAGGATTTCTCCAGGGTGTCACCCATCCTCTGGAACTCCCTGCCCCAACCCATCAGATTATCACCTACTCTCCTCTCCTTTAGGCGCACCCTGAAAACCCACCTCTTTAGGGAAGCCTACTCCACCCCCTGCTAATTTGCTGACCTCCTCCACTCTTCCTACCACTTCATCCCCCACAGCTATCTCCTCCTGTACCCACCATCCCCTCCCTCCTAGATTGTAAACTCGAAAGAGCAGGGCCCTCGAACCCCTCGTGTTTTACATTATATTTTTACTGTACTGTTGCATGTTCTGTCCCCCTTTGTAATGTACAGCACTGAGCGAACTGTTGACGCTTTATAAACACTGTATAATAATAATAATATCTGGCTAGTAAAGCTGAGCAGTACTTGGAAGATGGGGTCCACTGGGAGTAACGTAGATTTGTCCCAGTTTATGGGACAATCTGAGTGGGGGGAAAATTCATAAACTAGATGCATTCAAGTTTTAAGTTAAAAGGAAGTGTCTTCAGAAATTAGTAAGACATTGTCTGCATATAAGGCATTTTTTTCCCTTTGTCTCTCCCCTCTGAAAACCAACATTACTATGAATATTAGAGGCTGGGGGCTCAATAGCTAGGGAAATTAGATAAGATGACAATGGGTCCAAGTGTTTTTACTTTAATGCATTCTCAGCATTGAGGTAAAAAAAAAAATCCCCACTACTTGTTCTCCCTACTCCAATTCCTACACATTTGCCTGCCTCCTTTCACTGCCATCATGGCTCCAGCACCACTCTCCTCTTTTCCTGGATTCACAGGAGACACTGAGAGCCCATAGGCTCCTGCTGCTGCTGGCAGTAAATCTCCTGTGATTAGGGAGCAGGGACATGGCTTGCTAGCACTGTATGTATGGATGCGCACAACCCAGCTTGGGAACACGTGTGCACCCATAGTACATGTCTTTCTAAGGAGCACTCATAGGAAGAAGGAGCTGAGAGCACTGGCAGGGGACAGCTAAAAAGAAGGTAAGGGACTGCTCTGTGCCTCATTGTTGCACAGAGCAGGTAAGTATAACATGTTTTTTATTTTTAGTCATAAAAACTTTATCACTTTAAGGAGAGTGGTTGTGAAATGAGATTATTCACACGGACATGGGTCATTCGGTTTGAATACAAATAGTTTGAACCAAGTTGTGGCTTAGGCTAAAAATATATAGAACTTGCCACTCCAGAATAATAAATGCCTCGATAACATCTAATGAAAAGATGGTTTGAGAGCCACTGTTATCAGTTGGAATCTTAATTTTGTGTGTCTATTTATATATATATATATATATATATATTTCACTCAACAAGGTGTGTTTTAGGGCTTCTTGCCCATTTTTATTCAAACTGGGAGAAATGCAGAAAATGAATATATACAGTATGATTAAAATGGTAAAAACATGAGACTGTTGAGAAAAACAGGAGACTGTTATAAGAACTATATTGTATATCTAAATAATCTGTATGAATACACGACTATCATCTAAGGCAGAGCGGTACAGTCTTGCAATACGCATACCAAATCACATGGATCTCCTTGTTGTCATAGATCTGATTTTCAAAGACTAGTTTATTCATACTGATTGTGTAGATTTCCACACCTGGGGTAGATATCTGGATTTAATGTTTACCTAATTATGCATATGATTTCTTTTTTTTCAAGAGCAAAGAACAAAGCAATGTTTTCAAGTCCATTAAATCGTACCATGGTGACATTTTTCTATATTAAAGGGATCACTGATGCAGCAGATCTCCAGATTTTAATCTTCATCCCAGTCCTGTTAATTTATTCCATCACCGTGGGTGGCAATGTGACCATTCTTCTGCTCATTTGTTTGGATCATCACCTGCACACACCCATGTACTTCTTCTTGGCCAACTTGTCCATTGTGGATGTGTCTTCTTCCACCATCACTTTGCATAAAGTCCTAGTCATCTTCATAACTGGAGATCACATGGTTTCATATCCAGCATGCATAACTCAGATGTACATTTTTGCATCCTTGATAGGACATGAGCTTTTAATTTTGTCTGCAATGAGTTATGATCGATATGTTGCCATCTGTAACCCATTGCGTTACCTCATGATCATGAACAGTAGAGTTTGCTCTTTGCTTGCCATCAGCTGCTGGTTTATGGGCTTCGTACAAGTCCTTCCTGCTATTGTAATCTTCTCAGGCTTCTCATGCTACACCTCTAATGAGATCAACCACTTCTTCTGTGACATGATGCCTTTGATAAAAAACATCTGTAATGACACCTCTGTATTGGATATTGTAGTTTTAATCCAAGGAATCTTTGTTATAACACACTACTCCCCTTCCTTTTTACCTCAATCTCTTATATTTTTATCATATCTACCATAATGAGGATCGTTTCCAACACTGGAAAGCGAAAAGCCTTTTTTACATGCTCCTCACACCTAACAGTAGTTATTCTTCTTTATACAACACTTGTCTCCCAGTACTTGACACCAACATCATTGGGAACATTGAATGCAAAGAAGATGTTCTCTCTTTTCAATACAGCAGCTGTTCCCTTGTTAAATCCTTTAATTTATAGTTTGAAAAATAAAGATGTTAAGTTAGCTGTAAGACGTATGTTGGGGTTCTGTAAATTCATTGGCTGAACAATGTTTAATTACAATCTGTGGTGCCAAGACCATATTTTTAATTATGTATAATTTCTAAAGATCATTGTAAAAATAAAATTGGAAGATAATATACTATAATTGTTTAAAGCTTTTTTTCTGGAAAAAAATAAAGCCCTCTCTGGCCCTCTTACTGATTCAGACTTTTTTTTTTTACTCATCTCATATATACTCACTTAAGTCTGCAATCTGAGTCCCTGGTCTTCACTGTTTTTCTTTTTGTAAATATTAAAAACATTAAAATGATATCAAAACGCATCATACCATAAAAGTTGTGCAAGTGGGAATTGTGCTGGCTGTGATTTCACATGTGCTAAAGTTGACCTGAACTCAAAACGTGGAGATTTGCTATATTATATGGAGCAAACCATCTGTGCCCAGAAGTGCCACCCATCAGTACCCAGCAGTGTAACCCATCAGCGCTGCCCAGCAGTGCCACCCGTCAGTGCCCAGCAGTGCCGCCCATCAGTTCTGTCCATCAGTGTAGCCAGTCAGTGCTGTCTGTCAGTGCCACCAGTCAGTGCCCATCAGTACCGCCTAATCAATGTCCACCAGTGCTGCCTCATCAGTGTCCATCAGTGCTGCCCATCAGTGCAGCCTCATCAATGCACATCAGTGAAGGAGAAAAATTACCTGTTTGCAACATTTTGTAATAGAAACAAAGAAAACCTTTTTTTTTTTTTTTTTTGCTCTTTTTTTTTTTGTTTATAGTGCAAAAAATAAAACCCCTAGTGGCAAGTAAATACCACCAAAAGAAAGTTCTATTCGTGCGAAAAAAATTATAAATATTTCTTATGGGTACAGTGTTGCGTGACCGCGCAATTGTCATTCAAAGTGCAACAGCACTGAAACCTGAAAATTGGCTCGGGCAGGAAGGGGGTGAAAGTGCCAGGCTTGCAAGTGATTAAAAACACCGTCAACTAATTTTTTTGGTTCTTTAGTGGCCACTTCATTAGGAAAAAGAGTACAGTACACTTTAATGGGTGGGATCTGTGTGTATAACTTCAGCTAAGAGTATAAAGTGAATAAGAAATGCACATAGATCCCAACCATAAACCGCTGCCCGTCCGCCTTATAGCAGAAGTACTGCTATAGGGTGGCACGGGTGCACAAAATCACGTGTATATATATGTGATTTTGCTGTTCCGGTTAAGGGGCGCATAAGACGCGTAGGGGTTAGTTCCGGGTAGGGGTCCCAGCCAGTGATTACTCGCTGGCACCCAGTGATTACCGAGCATCTCCGATGGGGGGGGGGGAAACAATACAGTTCTCTCCCCTGTCAGCTCCTGCACACTGCTTTGTATGGCTTTGCATAGCACAACCATACAAAGCAGTGTGCTAACAGTGAAGCACTAACACAGCACACTATGTAAAATGGCACACAGCACACAGTTGACCCTTTGATCACCCCAGATGTTAACCCCTTACTGCCCAGTGCCAATAGTGCAGTGTCAGTGCTTTTTTTTAGCACTGATGACTGTATTGGTGTCACTGGGGATGTCAGTGACACCAAATCAGTTCCCCCAGTGTCAGAAAGCCCGCCGCTGTCTCGCAGTCCTGCTAAACCAATTACGTAAACCAATTATGTAAATTCATGTAAACCAATTCATTTACACGTATTGGAATTGTTTTTAGCAAAGACATGTAGCAGAATACATTTTGGCCTAAATGTATGACGATATTTGATTTTTTAAATTTTTTTACTGGACTTGTTTAATAGCGAAAAGTCGCAAATATTTTTAAATCAAAATTGGCGGTCTGTTTTTTATAGTGCAAAAAAATAAAAAATGCACAGGGGATCAAATATCAAAGAAATCTCATTTGCACGAAAAAAAAGGACGTGAATGTCATTTGGGTGCAGCGTTGCATGACCGCGCAATTGTCAGTTAAAGTAACGCAGCACCATAACGCAAAAAATGGCCTGGTCAGGAAAGGGGGTAAATCCTCTGGAGGGCAAGAGGTTAAAATGTGCTGTACACCTTTTCCTTATGAAGTGGCCAATAAAGAACCACAAAACACAATGATCATAAAAACAGGTTAGAACACCATCAATAAGATCATTAAATACAGACCTTCTTGAAGAATCCATTTGGAAACACCTTTGTATTGAATGGGTGCCTCTGCTGACCACACACTGGTTGCATTTTGTTGCCTTATCCAGTTTACTAAATGTCATACTGGGTTGGATTTTCTACCCAATTTCAATTATTTGGATGCTTTAAACCAAGAAACAGTCAAAAATTCAACTTGCCATGCTGTGATTTTTAGCAATTTTTAGCCTTCTAAAACTGCTACAAAAATCCAACCCTTATAGTCTGTACTAGGGTCTGATTTATTAATCCCAGTTTACATTACTGTAGCACAATATCAGGGATCATGCATATGTGTGATTTTTGTGATGTAAGCCAGCATTCACTAGTGTAGCATGTGTGAAATATCTATCATGCTTTTTATTCCATTCATTGCTAAAGGCATTCCAAATGCACCAAGCAAGAAGTGTTTTTATTGTTTTGCGCAGAAAAATGCAAAGTTAAAAAAAAGTACAAAGCTCAAAAAGGTTCATGACCATTGAAATGAATGGTCTGCCCTACAAAATATGGTGCAGTATACCTTTGTTTACTAACTGTGGACACCAAAAAAAACCTAAATTTGGCAGACGAATCTTCTATCTCAGGAAACTTTCTAAACGAAGAGCCAGTTTATTGTCCTTCAGACTTTAGGGGAGGCTGGTCTTTGTCCAGTGGGAGTGGAAATTTTCCTGACAACAGTGGTAGTAAACATTGCTCCATTTGGTATTAGAGGGAAGAATAGTGCCCCATTGTTGGTGTCAGTGGGCAGAATAGTGTCTCATATAAGTGGGAGGAATAGTGCCCCAAGGGCTAGATAAAGCCAAGCAGTGGAAACCACTGATCTATCTAATAAATATACAGATTTGCTTCACTTGGGCTGTTAGTTGTGAATTGTCATTTACTATCATCATATTTTGTCTGACATTTAATTGCAATGTAAAAAGGTTCATGGCATCAACAACCTCTACAGATACCTGAATACTCAAAGGATTAATTATATAGCCAGCTCTCTCTATATATATATGTACTGCATATCAGAGAAATGCCACTGTAAAAGTATCCTGACTTATACACACAACCAAATACGGACAGCCCCATATACATAAAAGATCAATAGTAACAAATCCTTTATCAGTGTAGAATTCCAATACACCAGTGACGTAGCATTTGAAGGAAAATATAATTTTGAGGAAATATCCAGAGTGGCTGTAATACTGGGCTGCAGGGCTTTCATGGGGCTGTCGGAACAATATTCAGAATTAAACGATTATAAAGCACAAGGGAGAATTATAGCAGAAAGACACCAGGAGTCAGCCACTTGACTGAGTAGGTGAGTGGATCAGCTATTTGTATATCATGAGTCTGAACGATAATGTATTCTATATTCCTATAAACTACCTCCTTTTCCAACAGAACCTTTAGGATGATGTAATAAGGTGAAAAAAATGGGAATGATCAGGTAATGACTGGGCTGGGGAGTATGGGTGCATTTGACCATTAGGGCATTACAAAAAATATACTGTATGTAGGACTGATGTCCCTGAGTGAAGATACCCTTCTATTCTGCCTTCAGAACATGACATGTACTCAGTGACAACTGCAGATAGTTATCTTTCTGCTCCCTTCTGCATGCCGGGCAGAGTAACATTTTCCAACCAGCTTCTGAACCTCATGTTGTCGAATTGGGGTTTATTTACTAAAGCTGAAGCCAAAATTCCCTGCATAGAAACAATCAGCTTCTAACCTCAGAAAAGCTTTGGCAATGGAAGCTGATTGGTTTCTATGCAGAAGGGAGTCTGATTTTGGACTCTCCAGCTTTAGTAAATAAACCCCTGTATGTCAAGGAAGACTTGACAAAGGTGGACTGCAGTCCACTGAAACATAGCATAAGATAAACACTTCTTATGATATATTCCCTCTTCCTTGGACATATTCTCCTGCTTTAAAGTGGTAGTAAAGTTGCATAAACATATAAAAAATAAATTAAAAATCCCCCTGAAAGGTAATAACCTAATGTGCTAGTATGCATCACATTGTGAAATACCTACCTTAAAACTAAGTTCTCCAGTGGCGTGTTCTTACAACTGACAAGACTTCCATCTTCACCTAGTCTTTGGGTTCACGGGTCTAGGCCATTTGAATGGCCGAGTCACAATGACTCCTGAGCGCATGGTCATGGCACAGAGCACTGAAGGAAAGGCATGAGTATGCCATCCCTTCAGAGCGCATGCGCCTGGCTGCAGGAACAGTGAATACCTCCTGTTATTTCTTGTACCTATAGGTAAGCTTTATTAAGCTTACATATACACATTCACAATTTTTGGTGACGCGTGCAAAATCCTTGGTTTGATATTTCTGTTTTTCCTATATAAGCTTTATTAATATTACCTGTAGGTACAAGTGTACCAGTGGTGTTTACTACAGCTTTAAGGCTGTGAGTGCCACCACAATTATATGAATTTTTAATGTGATTCTGCTACAGAGAACCTGGGCATATACATATGAAAAGGTGCATCACAAAAAACATAATTTTTAATGGCTAAGTTCACCTTTTCAAAAATATCCTATGCTGCCAAAGGGTCCCACCCCTGTGCAGCTTTATAAAATGTTCAATAATGTTACTGTCATACCTGTAGACCATTTGGGGCCTCCCAGGAGCCAGGCAAAAACACCTACTTAGCAATCCTCATATCCTGCCTTGTTGGTGGGGAAACTGTTGGTGTTTCCTCTTGGGAGTGAGTGTCCAACAGTTTTCCTATCCTAGAACAAGCCAAACATAGGTGTTGCTGACTGGGAGTTTTTTTTGGCCAGGCTTCTGGTTCATAAAATCAATGAACATTTTACATAGATGCACATATATTTTTTTTATACCTATTGGAGCGCCTTGACTGGTTATTTTATTGAAAAGGCTGATTTAGCATTTAAAAGAACACCAACTTTTAGGAAGGTCAGGGCTTTTAAAATCAAAAGGGGCTTTATGGCGACTTAAACGTTTAATATTTTTAACATTGCTCTGTTTATCTCCCCTCCTTACTTGTCTCCAGCACTGTGCCTGGGGACTAGCAGGGAGGAGAAAGACCTTGCATTATAATGAACACCGATTGGCTGCTCATCAGGAAAGGGGTGTGACGGGCTCATCCCTTTCGTTGCCAGAGCTGTTTTTGAGGTTTTTTGCACACGTTTAAAAAAATCACTTAAAAAAAAAACTTAAAAACAAAAAAGCCCCCTATGTGATGATTTTTTGGTGACAGGTTCTCTTTACGGAGACATCCAGGGTCTAAAAGACCCTGCATGCCTCCCCTTTACTACACTGAATGTAATGGAACTACATGTCCAGAGTGTTGGGCGATATGAATTGAACATCCCTCCAGCTATAGCAAAATTAATACAATTATTTACTTCATTTTCTGTTACTTATAGCACCAAGAAACATTGAAACTATTGGATCAAAATGAAATTAAGTAATCTAACATTTTTAGGAGAGTTATAAAATGAGAGCAATGTAAGCCTTCAATTTTCTCATTAAAAGGACTCATATAAATAAAGACGTACTGAGGCTGCCAAGACTGACCTTCTTATGAAAAAGCTACTTAATTCACTGACTCTTTGAGGTCAATGAACAAACATTCAGCTAGAGAAGTCAAAGGAAAGCTTGAACTCCCGACCTGCATATTTACTAAATAACTGAAGCTTTTGGTTCATCATAATAGCCAGCAAACATGCATTTTCAGAAGAAGGTCAGGAATAGTATCCACCATATTTCTCTCAGTAAGTTTTTTTGGGGGGGTGAAATTGCAGCATCTAAAAACACACACACAAAAGTGAGAACGTACTCTCAGCAGATTGTGAGTAAAGATGGGAGTTGAACCCTCGACCTAGTTCTATAAGTCAAGGGTAGCTGCCACTCATCGAATATACACAACGCCAATGGGGGAAAAAAAAACATCAAAAATTCTCAGCTCACTTACCAGCCAGCCTGCAACAAACTGAATTACCCTGTCTAACAGTTCATGTTAAAACAAGGGGTTTAGTTTGCACACGTTTGCAAATAAATGTGTAACCTACAGAGGCCACATTACGGCACCCCAGTGTACTGCAGTCCTAACGCTATAAAACTTTGAGAGTCTCCATAGTTGGACCACATATATAATAATGGATAGATTAAGGGCAGGTATGCCTGGAGGTAGCCAACCACCACTTAAAGGTATAGGAATCCACTGGACACTCAGCAAGAGCAAAATGGCAGCGAAGCTATCTAATGTGTCCCCTCGCCAACTCAATAACAGTGCAAACAAATAGCAACCACCTGACCTATAACTGGCCTGGAGGGGTGGGCTCGCTCCAGGCATACCTGCCCTTAATCTATCCATTATTATATATGTGCTCCAACTTTTGAGACTCTCAAAATTTATGGCATTAGGACTGCATTACACTGGGGTGCCATGACGTGGCCTCTTCATCTTACGCATATATTTGCACGTGTGCAAACTAAACCCCTTGTTTTAATGTGAACTGTTATAGGGAGTAATTTAGCTTGTTGCAGGCTGACTAGTAAATGAGCTGGGAATTTTTGTTGTTTTTTTTTACATGCGCCACCCTTCCTCCTTTGACATGAGTCACTCCTTGTTGCAAAGGCCAGTTATAGGTTAGGGAGGTTGCCATTTGTTTGCACAGTTTCAATGGGGACTGCATAATGATTTTATGAAGCCCAAATGTATAGCTTTCACACTCTCAATGTATCTTCTGGACCCAAATCACATAACATTTTCGATGTGATTTTATTATTGCCTTTATCAGATAAATTTACTTGAGGTTTAGGTTTAGAGCTTGTTTACACCAGCCATTATTATACCTATTCTCATGGTTAGGGGTCAGGCCCAGAGACCAGTAGCTATAGCAGTAAAGAGGCTCCCACTGACCAGCTGGAAAAGTACACAAGCAGGTCACTCTGGCATTTGAAGTGGGCCCACCTTTAGGTATGGGTAGACTAACCGGTATCCACCAGAGCTCCTGATGGTGGAGATGGGTTTTACTGCATGTTTGTACCAGGTTGTGGTCCTCTGAATCGCCCCACTAGGAAGTGAGCAAGCTGGGGTCCAGGGTATAGCAGGTAGGGATCAAGCAGAAGCCTAGTTGAGGAACAAGCCAAAGGTCTGTAATGAATGCTTGCAGGTTGAGACCAAGCAGAAGTGTAGTTGAGGAACAAGCCAAAGATTGGCAACAAATGGTTGCAGGTTGAGATCAAGCAAAAGCATAATTGAGGAAAAAGCCAAAGTTGGTAACGAGTAGTAGTAGGACATCGAGAATAAGGACATCTGCAGGTGCACAAAGGAGCAGGATATTGGCTGGAGAGAGCACAATAATCTGGCAAACGTAGGGGAAGAGAATTTTGAGAGATTATAAACTCGACCAAATCAGATCCAGTAAAGACAAAAGATAAGTTTGAACATAAAACATGGAGATAATTTTAATAGATTTAAGGTCAAAGAGCAATTTTTGTTGCAGCAAAATTGTGTGATGTACAGTTTAAAAAAAGAAATAAAAAAGAAAAGAATAATGATTATAATGGCTATCACAACAGCCAAGATAATTTATCAGAGATATCCCTGGGTACGGACACAAAAGAACTTAGAATAATTAAGACTGAGGGATCTATTTATCAATGTTTCTTACCCAAGATTCACACAACTTGAATGGTATCAAAACACACACACACACACACACACATATGCTTAAGCACAATGGGGGAGATTTACTAAAACTGATGCACTCAGAATCTGGTGCAACTGTGCATGGTAGCCAATCTCTATGCAAATTTGCACCAGAGTTTGTACCTTCCAGTTTTAATAAATAACCCCCATTGCAGAGTGTGAATGGACGTTTAGTCTGTTGTTTGCCGACACTTGCTCTCCTGTATGTCTGGATTGTATTCGTGTTTCTATTTTGGTTTTCCCCTGCATTTCTACTATGTTCCTGTTCCTTCACTGAGGGAGTTTTCAAAATCCTTTTTATGTGACCAGTCTACTGCTACCTGTTGAGAACATGGTGGATGGTTGTAGTAGAGATGGACTATGGGAAGGCAGAAGCTACTGATTACAGATTACAAAGGTGGGTAGAGATCTAATATGAGTTACATTTATAAAATTCTAAAAAAAAGATTATGGTTGTTCATGAGAAGTTATCGTCAGTAAGTAGGTCAGCTGAGGAGGGGGGGAGGATGGTTTGGAGAACATATAGATATAGTTTTTTCTAAAGTAGATGTCTCCAAACATTTTAAACAAAGGGCCCGTTTACTGTCCTTGAGACTTTAGGGGGATTGGGCTATGGCCAGTGGGAGTAGAAAATGGCCTGGCATCTAGTGGGAGTAAATAATGCTGATCATTGGTGTCAGTGGGAAGAATAGTTTCCCATTGTTGGTGTCAGTGGGAAGAATAGTGCCCCATTGTTGGTATCAATTTTTCCCTATCATTGGTGTCAGCAGGAAGAATTGTGCCCTTCGTTGGTATCACTGGAAGGAATTGAGCCCCTTTGTTGATATCAATGAGAGGAATAGTGCCCCATCTTTGGTGTCAGTGGAAGAAATGGTAGCCCATCATTGGTGTCAATGGAAGGAATTCTGCCCGATCATTGGTGTTAAGGGGAGGAATTGTGCCCCATCACTGGTGTCAGTGGGAGGAATTGTGTCCTTTCATTGGTGTCTGTGGGAGGAATAGTGCCCCATTATTGGTGTCAGTGACAGGAATTATGTCCGATTTGTTGGTGTCAGTGGATGGAATAGTGTCCCAAGAGCCAGATAGAGGCAAGCAATGAGCCACAATTTGGAGACCACTGATCTAAAGTATTTTAAAATTCCACCTCATCCATTATAAATCATTAAGTAATCAGTGTGCACTGGTTCCCTTCCTACTGCTCAGACACTTTCAGTCATGATTCTCCATGGAGTAAGACCTTGTATGCATCTGTAATAAAATTTCGTTTTTAACTTTAGCATTTATTAACTGTTAATATATTTCTGTGTTCTAGAATAAAGAATATGGCTATGTTTTCAGATTCGTTTAATCAGACCACAGTGACATTTTTCTTTATTAAAGGGATCACCGACATACCAGAGCTCCAGACTGTCTTTTTCATTTTGGTTCTACTTATTTATCTTGTCACTATTGGAGGTAATGTGACCATTCTTTTGCTTATCTGCTTGGATCATCACCTCCACACTCCCATGTACTTCTTCCTGGCTAACCTGTCCATTGTGGACTTGTCTTCTTCCACCATCACTTTACATAAGGTCCTTCTTATGTACATAACTGGTGATCACACGGTTTCATACCTGGCATGTATTACTCAGATGTATATTTTTGCATCTACATTGGGTCATGAACTGTTAATTTTGGCAGCAATGAGTTATGATTGCTATTTAGCCATCTGTAACCCTTTGCGTTATCATGTTATTATGAACTGTAGACTTTGCACTTTGCTTGTTGCTGTATGCTATTTGATGGGTTTTGTACAAGTTCTAGCCACCAATCATCACCTTCTCAACTTTCACTTGTTCATTACGAAAGAACTCAACCACTTCTTTTGTGACATGGTACCATTAATGAAAATTACTTGCAATGACACCTCATTTTTGGAAATGATGATACTTATACAAGGTCTTTTTTTTGTAACATTAATTCCTTTTATTCTCACCTTCATCTCCTATATTTTCATCATTTCTGCTATACTGAAGATCCATTCCAGCACTGGCAAATGAAAGGCATTCTACACATGCTCCTCCCACTTAACAGTGGTCATTCTTCTTTATATCATGCTTGTCTCTCAGTACTTGACACCAAAAACGTATGGCTCATTAAATGCAAAGAAGATGTTCTCTCTGTTTAACACTGCAGCTGTTCCCATGTCAAATCCTCTGATTTATAGCTTAAAAAATAAAGATGTTAAATCAGCTATGAAACGAAGGCTGGCATTCTGTAAAACCACAAAATGAGCAAAGGCATATTTGCAAATTTGATGCCAAGTTTGCTTGAATTCCCCCTTCCCCATCACAACACATATTAACCACTTAAGGACCGCCCACCCATGTATGTAATGTACTGAGGATGGGTAGCCTGTACAGGTACGTCACTGTGTGGTGCAGGTTCACAGGGTGTGCACACCCCCACCCCTTGACTTCTGCTGAGATTAGATTCTATCAGCAGGTCCCAGCCAATGATTCATGGCTGGGACCTGCTGCTTGGCTGTGTCCAATCACAGCCTAGAACCCTGTGTTGACAATCAACACAGGGTTCCTTACAGAGTGAACAATTTCATTGTTTATTCTCCCTGTAAAGCAGGGAGAATAAACAAAAAGATTTTTAGTAATAATCAGCACATAATACACACATTCACACTTGTTAGGCACACACTTAACACCTAGATTACCCTAAGATGTTAACCCCTTCCCAGCCAGTGTCATTAGTACAATGACTGTGTATAGTATTATCACTGATCATTGTATTAGTGTCACTGGTAATGTTAGTGTCAGTTAGCTACCACCCAGTGTCAGTTAATGTCAGATTGCCCACTATCACAGTCCTACTATAAGTCACTGATCACCACCATTACTAGTATTAAAAAAAATAAATACAAAATCCAGTATATATACCATATACACTCAACGGCCACTTTATTAGGTACACCTGTTCAATTGATTGGTAACACAAATTGCTAATCAGCCAATCACATGGCAGCAACTTAATGCATTTAGGCATCTAGACATGGTGAAGACTACGTGCTGTTGGTGAAGTTCAAACCAAACATCAGAATGGGGTAGAAAGGGGATTTAAGTGACTTTGAACGTGGCATGGTTGTTGGTGACAGACAGGCTGGTCTAAATATTTAAAAAAACTGCTGATCTACCGGGATTTTCACGCACAACCAGGGCTTTATTTCAGCCGGAACGCAGTTCCGGCACCTCCAGCACTGAATGTATGCAATGGCAAGGAGTGCTGCGGTGTGCTAGAGGGTCTATCGATGCCGGCTGCTGGGGGATCTATTGTCATTGGAGGGGATCTATTTTTGTATGAGGGTATATTGCTCCTGGGGGAGGGGTTGTATGATGCTTGAGGTCAATTGTTGCTGAGGGAGCTACTCTTGAGGGAGAAGTCTTCTGTTGCAGGCTGCTGGATGATCTATTAATGCTGGCTGCTGGGAGATCTGTTGTTGCTGCACAGGGTCTAATGTTGCTGGGGTGGTATTTTGTTATGGGGGTCCATTATTGTTGGAGTGGTCTAAAAGTGGTGGTGCTGGGAGGTGAAGTAGGGGTGAAACCAAGGAACGATGCTCAGAGGTCCACAGGGGCAAAGACAAGGGGAGAGTGTAGTTTGTAGACACTACAACTTTCATACAAAACCAATCAATATACACTTATTTGTTTTTTTGTTTGTTTTTTTATATATTAAAGACATATAGCAGAATACATTTTGTCCTAAATTTATGAAGAAATCTGTTTTTTTATTGAATGTTTTATAGCAGAAAGTAAAAAATATTGTTTGTTTGTTTTTTTAATTTGTGGTCTTTTTACATTTATATAATTAAAAAAAAAAAAATCCAGTGGTATCAAATACCACCAAAATAAAGGTCTGTGTGAAAAAAATTATATAAATTTTAGTCACATGACAGCGCAATTACCAGTTAGAATAGCGCAATACCAAATAGCAATGTCCTTACTTTATGAAGCCAGAGGCCAACAAAAGAGGGCTGTATGTCTCTCCACCTCAAAGAGATGCAGGAGTTGGCTGCATTTAAAAATGGCATAGAACGGATCGTTTGTATGTATTGGTGACATGTAAAAGAAAAAAGGCTGGATCATCAAGGACTTAATAATCCATGAATTTTTGCGTAATGCGGAGGACCTCCTTCCAGTAGTGTAGAAGCCTAGGACAGGACCAAAACACATGTAAGAGCGTTCCCTCCTCTTCTTCTTGGCAACACCAACATTTGAGATAGTTGGGGAGAGCCTGTGTAAATGTGCAGGGGTTCTGTAGCAAGGGGTCTGGATTTTGAAATTGTTCTTCTGAATTCTTATACAGAAGGAGAATTTTAAAGTGAATCTGATCATGTTGGTTTTCTTGAGAGTCTGAGAACGTTCTGCCCAGGTCCGCCTCCCATTTTGCAAGGTATTGTGGACAGAAGTTTTCAAAACGTGTGACCAGTAATGGATACAGTTTGGAGAGTGCATGGGGGAATGTGCCCATATAAGAGCAGTATTCCTCCAATGTAGTTAATGGGCGTTGATAGCCCCTTGAAGGGGGGAGTGAACAAAGAAAGTGGTGGAGTTGAAGAGCCCTCCAGAAATCCAATTTACAGGTGAAACTCGAAAAATTTGAATATCGTGCAAAAGTTCATTTATTTCAGTACTGCATCTTAAAAGGTGAAACTAATATATGAGATAGACTCATTACATGCAAAGCAAGATAGTTCAAGCCGTGATTTGTCATAATTGTGATGATTATGGTTTATAGCTCATGAAAACCCCAGATCCACAATCTCAAAAAATTAGAATATTACATGCAATCAATAAAACAAGGATTGTACATAGAACAATATCGGACCTCTGAAAAGTATAAGCATGCATATGTACTCAGTACTTGGTTTGGGCCCCTTTTGCAGCAATTTCTACCTCAATGCAGCGTGGCATGGAAGCTATCAGCCTGTGGCACTGCTGAGGTGTTATGGAAGACCAGGATGCTTCAATAGCGGTCTTCAGCTCTTCTGCATTGTTCGGTCTCATGTCTCTCATCCTTCTCTTGGCAATGCCCCATAGATTCTCTATGAGGTTCAGGTCAGGCGAGTTTGCTGGCCAATCAAGCACAGTAATCCCACGGTCATTGAACCAGGTTTTACTGCTTTTGGCAGTGTGGGCAGGTGCCAAGTCCTGCTGGAAAATGAAGTCAGCATCCCCATAAAGCTCCAAAGTGCTCCAAAATCTCCTGGTAGATGGCTGCATTGACCCTGGACTTAATGAAGCACAGTGGACCAACACCAGCAGATGACATGGTTCCCCAAATCAACACAGACTGTGGAAACTTCACACTGGACTTCAAGCATCTTGCAGTGTGTGCCTCTCCATTCTTCCTCCATACTCTGGGCTCTTGGTTTCCAAATGAGATGCAAAAGTTGCTCTCATCAGAAAAGAGGACTTTGGAACACTGAGCAACAGACCAGGTCTGTTTTTCTTTAGCCGAGGTAAGACGCTTCTGACGTTGTTTGTTGTTCAGGAGCGGCTTGACAAGAGGAATACGATATTTGAAGCCCATGTCCAGGATCTAAATCAGAAGATGCAGCGCTGAACAGAAAATACTAAAGTGAATAAATGCATAGATAAATAAGTAGTTCATATGGTGATATCAAGGTGACTTCAAGTGCTTTCATCTATTTCTATCCTCCTGGTAACAAGGTGCTGTGCGATATAGTGCAGAAGGGATGCACACTCACCAGAACGCACAGTTTAATGAGCGTTTATATATATATCTCTCCCTTGAGGTCATCAGCTGGTCAAGGTAGGGTTTGAAATCCAATGGCCTCCATCCAGCGTTCCTGGGTGTTATTTCTAGGACATCAGGATGATCCCTCGGATGTTAGCCTATGGACTACTCCTTAAGTGGTAAAAACGCTCCTTCCCCAGCAGTGAGATGAAAGACTGTAAATTGATACTCCCCAAGGGAGTCAAAACAGAAACATCTCCATAGTGTAGTAAATTCATATTTTATTTGAGTAAAGCGAGGATAAAAATCAATATTCGTATGAGAGAAATCATGGACTGACCGTCCAGTGTTAAAGATGGCCACCGGAGCTCCACGATGCTCCGGTGGTGTGACGTCACGCCGCCGGAGCATCGTGGAGCTCCGGTGGCCATCTTTAACACTGGACGGTCAGTCCATGATTTCTCTCGTACGAATATTGATTTTTATCCTCGCTTTACTCAAATAAAATATGAATTTACTACACTATGGAGATGTTTCTGTTTTGACTCCCTTGGGGAGTATCAATTTACAGTCTTTCATCTCACTGCTGGGGAAGGAGCGTTTTTACCACTTAAGGAGTAGTCCATAGGCTAACATCCGAGGGATCATCCTGATGTCCTAGAAATAACACCCAGGAACGCTGGATGGAGGCCATTGGATTTCAAACCCTACCTTGACCAGCTGATGACCTCAAGGGAGAGATATATATATATAAACGCTCATTAAACTGTGCGTTCTGGTGAGTGTGCATCCCTTCTGCACTATATCGCACAGCACCTTGTTACCAGGAGGATAGAAATAGATGAAAGCACTTGAAGTCACCTTGATATCACCATATGAACTACTTATTTATCTATGCATTTATTCACTTTAGTATTTTCTGTTCAGCGCTGCATCTTCTGATTTATATTGTTTTACAAGGTTTATGGTTACCTTATGCATAGCTGCTGTATTGCATTTTAGGTGCGCTCGTATACATTTTTTACTACATGTCCAGGATCTGTCTGTGTGTGATCGCTCTTGATGCACTGACTCCAGCCTCAGTCAGTCCACTCTTTGTGAAAGTTCCCAACACTTTTGAATGGCCTTTTCCTGGCAATCCTCTCCAGGCTGCGGTCATCCCTGCTGCTTGTGCACCTTTTTCTAACACACTTTTCCCTTCCACATAACTTTCTATTAATGTGCTTTGATACAGCACTTTGGGAACATCCAACGTCTTTTGCAATTACCTTTTGAGGCTTTCCCTCCT